CAGGAGGGTTGGACTAGATGACCCACAGAGGTCCCTTCCAACCCCTACTATTCTGTGATTCTGTGATAATATGTTTTTGGATTCTTCGGGGTAAGACAAGTATTTTGCTTTTATTTTCAACGTTGAAATTTTTATGACACCATGAAAACTTCTGTCACAAAAAAGGTAGACAGAGAAGACAGTAACTGTGGTGTATTTTTACTAGTCTTTGTATGTTCTGGAGTTAAATCTGAATGTTTTGCCTTGCTACAGGCTTTTCTGGTGCCTCACCTCCCATGATGTTCTTAGGCCCGTTCTTACCTAGCAAGTCTTATTTTGCCACTCATGTCTTCCCGTTCTCAGTCCTCTCTCTTCCTGCTGTTTCCCCCATTTTGGCCTTTCCAACATGCTTGCTTTCTGCTCAGCTGTCAGTCCTACTGTATTCAAATTTGACAACTCTCGTTTGCTTTTTGCATCCCGGGAGAGCATTATTTACAAAGATCCATGCTAATCCTACCAGATGCCAAAAATTGTGTTAGTCTGTAGGCCAAACGAAGATGGAATTCTTAAGGCAAATTGCTGAAGTTTGCCTCTATTTGAATGTTATAGAAATATTTTTTAAGGCTTCTGTGCTTGGTAAAGAAAGCTAAATGGACTTTCTCAGGTACTGTAAAAAGGATGTTCTTGGCTGAAGACCAATAGTGGAAAAATTTGAAGTTTACATTCCAGGCAGGAAGGTGCTAGAGCAGTTTAGTAACCACAGATTTTCAAAGTTGAGGAAGGGACTGCATGTGATATTTTTTTTTTTTAGTATATGTATTTTTTTTAATACTTTTGTTCTTGCAAATGGCAAAATAGTCTTGGTTAATGTTAGTTTGTTTTTCCTTCCAAAGTTGACTTGACACATAGACCGATTAACACATTGGGGGAAAAAAAAAAAAATAAGCCACAACAGTGAAGTTTATCTCCAGAAAGAGAGACTGTATAACAGAAAAAAAAAAATGGTGCTTTTAGTAGAGGCATATAATAACTGATAGATTTTCTTTGTCTTTGTGCTCCTTTGTAGATGCTGGGAACAGTGGAAATTCATACTCCTGCAGCCACAGAAAACTGTAGTGTAGTACGTATTGTATCTGAGCTAGGAATTCCAAATAGAATTTGGCATTCTGATATTTTCTGAAAACATTTGTAACTTACCCTACACATTGTGTCATGTTTTTTTACCTAACCTGAGAATATTGAAAGTCTGAGCAAAACCAGTTGGTGTACTTCTAAATTTAATGTTAGTGCACTTGTTTATTTCCATAGTTACTTGAGGGGCATTAAAGTGGTAAAAAGTAAAAGAGTTAAGTTCACTTCCCGTTCATTCCCACGGGGAAAAGAAGCTTGAATAAAAGTTTGCGTGGCAAACTGGGACTTGCAAAATGAAAAGGATGGACTTGAAAAGAAGAATGATTTGGGACATTATGTAGGAGGCAAAGTTATGCCTACGGTACAAAATCTGGAAGTGAAATTAATTTATGCAAAGCATCAGAAGACAAAATACATTAAATAATAGAATACAAACTAGTGGTTGGAGAAAATACAGGATTGGGAAAAGAACTGTTAGAACGTATAACTTGCTGGAACAACAAGTGATTGTGGTGTGACTAATGCTCACATACATGTTTGCAGTACAATGTCTCAGGGAAATATTAATAAAATACAGTTTGCACTGAATTAGTTTTGTGAATTGAAACGGCAGTTTGACTGTGTGTCCAGATTTCCAATACAGTACTGCTGAAACAGTGCTTAGTCTTCGACAGTTAAATAAAAAAAAACCAGGCATGGAAAGGAACTTGGTGAGCATTCAGATATAATGATATATAACTTATAATTAGGATTTCAAATTATATATATTTAGCTTGTATAATAACCACTATAGGAATAGAACTATGATAAATTTTTAGTTTCCTCTCCTGTATATTTTTGTTATCCATTAATCTGCATATTTTCAAGATGTAAACAAAGAGAAGGAATAGAAATACTGGATATAAAAAGAAATTCGAGAACAGTGAAATCCAGGGAAAACCTACGCAAGAAAAATGTTGCCGTCTGTCGTCTCTGACAGGTAACCTTGAAATGTCTGAACTGGCTCATTTTTCAACATGCCAGTCAAATATGAAAGTTTGAAATAACAGCAATCATAGCTTGTACAGTGTCTGTCATTTAGTATGGAGGAGGCTAGGGAAAGCTGGCATGTGATTTATAAAGGTACTGCACTGAACATCAAATCATCAGGGTTTAATTTCTGATTCTGTCAATGAGTCTTCAAGGAGACCCTGTGCATCTCCAGAATGACTCAGTGCTTTAGCTCTGCCTCTGCCAAATGGGGATTTTGGTACTTTTTCCTATGCTGTATATTCAGATTTTGACTAAAGGAAAAGATGGGGTTTATTTCTTTAAGTAATTGCAACTGGTTTGTGTAGATAAAGCTCTTTTTTGGCAGCAGTAAGTGTATGTGTAAGGGGAAAATATCTGCTGTGCTCAAGGGTTCTGCATGGGTAGACGTTGCCTTAGGGGAGTGTAAGATTTTGTCTGGGATGTTTTTTTATGTGTTAATGCAGTTTCTGATGTACGAGTGTCCTCATCTCGGATTGGATCTGTTGGCCACAGTACAAGCAAGTGAGGTGTGTGTAGTGCCTCCTTTGCTCCAAAATAGGCACCTCTTAATTTTTTCATGGTGAATTAAAATGTGCAGAGGGATTGAAACAAAGACTGGTTCTACTCAAAATCAGGCAGCTCATCTATGGGGATGTTTTTTGTCTGTAGCGTGTCGCTTGAAGTAATCTCTTGTCTAGTCAGTGGGTCACAGACAGGTGAATCCTCTGCCAGATATAATGATCCTAGGTCTTTAGGGGAGAACAGTAAATGCAGAGATGGTACTGGGGAGTGCGATACGCACACCTACTCACACTGTTATCCAGGGGAAATCAGAGGCACAGGGCATGCTCAGGAGATGAAGCTAGGCAGATCCTGAAAAGGCAAGTGGTAGGAGCAGAAAGGCTTTGCGATAAAACTTTCCTGCTGCCAAACTGCAAAGCTGTTTGCGTTTACTAGTTACCTTTCTGCATTACAAATGTGACAATGCAGGGATACATACTGCAGAAAAAAATGTAAATGCAGTACATGTCCAATAGACCTTGAAATTTGAAATACATTAAAATAAATATTGCAGCAAGAATTTCAGTTTCATTTTTTCATTTAAAGTTAAAATAAAGCCAAACAAGTGAACAGTATACTAATAACAACAAAGTAAAATATGAAAGGAACTTCTGTCTGATTGGAAAAGTAAATTTTAAATTAATTGTTTAAACTGAAAAAAACAAACCCTTAGCTTCATCTTGTTTATTCAATTCCCATACGTAGAGTGGACTACCAGTACTTTAGAAGCCTATTTTCTCACGTTTTTTGAAATAGAAGCTTAGTTTCTCAAAACTTCAATATTTACTGAATGTTCTTGTCACTGTCTTTTCAGGAGAGTGCTGTTCTGCTCAACTATATGAATGGCAACAGCTATGTATTTTTACTTTGTACATTTCTAGAATTACTAAAATGAAATTGGGATGCATCAGATGCTTCCACAACGAGTTTCTGTAGAGTTCAGGACAGATCCACTGCACGAATAGGGGAGTTTCTTGTCACATCATCTAATGATCAAGTCCCTGTTGTCCTAGGGAGCCTCCAACACTGCTGTAGGGCCATATTAGGAGAGGGGTTTTTCCCTATCTAGGATGCATAAAGAGAAAGATATGCCCACTTATCAAAGAGTTTGGCAAGTCGTAGAGATGTTTATGAATACTGTTAGCAGAAGCACAGTCTCTTATGCCTCAGTTTATTTTTAGAGAGAAAGGTGTTAAGCTAAGCCTGCTTGTTTGTTTGTTGTTCTTCCCTCTTCGTCTTCGTTTTAGCTTGTGGTTACACTTCCTTACCAGGTTGAACAGATGCATACTGCAGATGTACATTGCTGGGTACAGCCTTCCTTTTTTCAGGTCTTTTACCTGACCGTTTTGGTTTAATCTGAGGATGATTTTTGTTAAAGAAAATCACAAAATGTGAGGGGTTGGAAGGGACCTCTGTGGGTCATCTAGTCCAACCAAAATGTTTCTGTCCTGTATCAATCCAGTGTCTTACATAAATAAAGACTTTCATGGAAAGTCTTAACCTAGTGTAAAGAATGTACGCTCTCTCAAGAACAGTGTTAAAGTACTGAAAGAAATACAGCTGTCTCAAAACACTTTATGGCTAAAAAACGTATAGCAGGATGTTTCTTGATCGTGCTTGGCTACAGTCCACAAGAGAGATTTTTCTTATAGTTCTGTACTGGCATGTATGAAATAAGTTGTCATCCGTTTTGTAAGAAGTTATTAAGGAAAAATAGATTTCTGAGAAATTGTCCTGCATTTACTGTCAATTGCCAACTCAAAGATAAGTCTGTTAATTTCTGTATGTTGATGACGACTGCTTTTTGTTGGCACTTCTGGTTAATGCTATGGCAAAGATCTCCTCATTATTTACATATTTGTGATATCTGAACGTTTCAAAAGCAATTCAGAGAGAAAGCAAATGTGACTTTAGCAAAGAAAGTAATCTAGTGTTCCAAAGAAAAAAAGCCTCTGCTGTTGTGGGAAAAGGTGTTGCAAGGAGGTGATTAATATTTAATAGTAATCTGTCTAGAAAATTGCAAAGAAAAGACACCAAATTCTAATGCATTTCCAAAAATTGTAAAATCAGGATAGTATTTCACTGTAAAATTATGACTAAACATTTTTGGTTTAAATTAGCAACTTCTTCTTTTTTCAGGAAATTTGGAGAGCGACCTCAACCGAAACGACTCACCAGGTAAGCATTAAAGAAATACTGCTTTTAACAATTTTCTGAAGTTACCTTTTCATTCGCAGAAGGATTTCTAAGTTAAAAAATTGTGGCTTTCTAATCCTGGAATGTTAAATATCCAAGCTTTTCAATTTTTTTATGCCAGAAGTAAAATTTTGAACTGTGAATTGCTTGTTTTTAATATGATACTCAAAATGTCTTTTTAGAAACGATGTTGAGTTCACATACCAGTTATTGTAGGTTATTCAGTAGGATGTTAATCTGCTTAGTTTTAAGTCACCAGGAAGGAGCTGGATTTCTTTTCCTGGGTAAAAGTGTCTCGTGAGGTTGTGTAAAATAACACTTCTTACTGCCAAAATTCAGCTATTACGTCACTGCTGTCATGCAGCAGGTAAGAGCAAAATGAACACAGTGCTGTCAAGGAGTGATCTTAACCAATTTTTGGTGAAAACTAAACAGTCAGAGATAGCATCAAATAGTACCATCAAGTCAATCCATTCTGAAAAGTGTTTAGAGTGACTGGAGTCTGATTTGCTCCTGGCCTGCATGGGAAATATTTATACTAGAAACTATTAAGTAGTCACGATTTTTTTTCAAACTGTTGTAACACAGTCTATGCAAGTATTTATTATTCTGTGCCACAAACTTCCAAGTGGCTACTGAGTTTAAAATCCACTGTTTGCTTGAAGTACAGAAGTCATGCAATTATTTTACAGTTTTGTGTGGTAATAGTGCTGTATAAATGCATGGAAGCCCATTGTCACTCTGGCCTACTTGTGTTTTGAATGAAATTATGGTGCCTTATGTAAAGCACGGGGTGTGGGGGAGCATTTACATTTTGTGTTGGGGATATCTGTCTCATTGCATTTCTGAATAAGCTTCACGTTATCTTGTGTCGTTGTTAAACTTCATTTCAATGCAAAATTGATCTATACTGACTTACAGGTAATTGAACAAACATTGGTGTTTCCTGTTCGCCTACTTATTTTCAGGGATATTTAAAGATATTAAGTTTCGCATAATGAACTGTTTTCCATCTTGAGCAGTAACACCTGTTAGCATCACCCTGAAGTTACTGATAGCATCTATCTTCTATGATTTAAAAAGAACAACTGAAAAAATGACTATTCAGTCTAAGGTCTTTTAACTAAGTTTTCTGTTAACTATAGTGACTCTGAATTTCACGTGCAGGATTTTAGCTACTAGATGTGCCAGGTACTCTTTCCTATGAGTACAGGCTAGGCATCTGGGAACTGCTAGCCGTCCTTCAAAGCAGTAGCCTGTAGATCTTTTCTATACTGATAGAGGCTGGAAACAAGCAACCTGACTTTTCTTCTCTGAAGAGAAAAATGCTGAAATGGAAAAACTGTCACACAAATTTTTAAGAGTATCGTTTGTTTATATAATGCTAAAAAATGTTTTTGTAAAGGCATTTAATTTAGTTCAATTATTGGAGAATTATTGTTCTTTTTGGTGTAAAGACAGTCCTGTTCATCTAGGAATCTGTTCATTGTGGTGGAAGCTCCAGCGGAACAACACTATTTTGTTCATACGGTGCTAGTTGTTTTTATATGTAAACTATAATAGTACTGCCTTCATGGAGAGATTTAAGATTTAATAATGAGGAACATAATATAAGAATTCCAATGGTTATGTGTTTATCAGTGGGAGGGATTAGAGAGGAACATTCCTAGTTCTCCTAGGAGCTTGGATTGTACAAATCCACTGTAGCAACAGACCAGTAGAAAAGGCAGAATTTCTTCCTCATACAATGCTAAATAAACATTCGATAGCAACTAGCGGTTTTGTGCGTGGGTTGCTGGTATTGAGTGGTTTTCTTTTCGTGGTAGTCAAGTCAAAAGTTTTTAGTATGATAGATATTCTTAATTTAGTATGACAGTACTCTTTATTAAGAATATTAAAAATTGCCAGATAAAAAGTTTTTAAACCACTTAAATGCAGCTAATATGTATCGTAATGAAATTTCACAGTGAATTATGTTTTGTGGTTTAAAATATGTTCTTAAACAATGGTTGTAAATAAGGTAAGTCTGTGTGCTTTGAGACTGTTCTTCCATCTGTGCTTTCATGGATAAACATCAGTTTTACCAATGTCAAATGTACATAGATCAAGGTAGTCCAAATTTAAAACAGTAATTCAAGTCTTTGCCCTTATATGCTGCTGTTTAAACAGAAAATCTAGCACTGATCACTGCCTTATGCAGGCGTGACATGCAACAATTTACAAAACATCATTAGCAAAGCTGGATTGCTGTTGTTGTCCAACATAACCACCGTTCAATCTACTTGCTTTCCTCTGTGAAACTATATCTGGGGATTTCTTTTGGAAAAGGTCTTGTCAACAAAATACTACTTTTTATCTTCCCTCTTATTTCAGTGGAAATGTTTGTTTTTCTAGATCTATCCAAATGGGATTCAACAGTTGCATGCAGGTCACACACACACCCCCAAGATCCCTCTGCTATAGGGTTTCATCTCTTCATGTAACTTCCTGTTAAATTCATAATTTGTTTCTCGGATTCATGACTTTGAAGATGAGTGCATTGGTGGGCATTCAACCTGCAAAAGCTCCTCCAGGGACTTGAAAGTGTTCCTGTCAGCACTGCGACACAGCTAAACCCTAGGGTGTTGAATTTGGCATGCTGCTTAATGAACAGTTAGATTATTATACAGAAGAATGATAGGGTGTATTGTTCTCTTACTTCTCTCAAGGAATTGCTGTTGGTGTGTTTGAGATAATTACAGCTTTTATATGACGTCTGTCATTACAGTGATGATGAACAACAGAAAATCTTTTTTTTTTCTTTTTTTTTACCTGATTGTATGCAGGAAGTAGAGGCTTTCTCTAGAAGACCAGGTGAAACGATAAGCTGAAGAATTTAACTTTTGTTAGTATCTTTGCAACCAAAAGAAAACTTTTGTATAAACATGCAATGATTTAGTTAATAGCTTAAACAAAATTTCAGAACAATTTGTCATTATCATGAGAGACTAAACTGGTTAAGGAGACAATATTGAATTAGTAAAGTGTGTTGTAATTGAATATTTGTGGCAGGGTACGTTTAAAAAATTGAGCTTTGAACATGGTGTAGTGATTGGCATTGATATGACTTTACATCACAAGCATCTTTTTTTCCTGGAAAATGTAGTAACTGTAAATGACCACAGACCCCTACTGCTTCATGCAAGATAGTTGCTTCTTTTTGTTGTGTAATTCTCTTAAACAAAACAAACTCATATTAACCCCATTAATGATTGCCTTTTTTGAATTTCAGGTGTTTGGAGGTTTTTTTGTCCTAAAGCGGTCTTTGAATTATTGTAATTACAAACAAAACCAAAAGAACTTTCAAAGCTTATTTTGTCTTTTAATTTTTAGGGAAGCAATGCGAAATTACCTAAAGGAACGAGGTGATCAAACAGTTCTAATACTCCATGCTAAAGTTGCGCAGAAGTCGTATGGAAATGAAAAAAGGCAAGTCTCTATTCTTTCCTGGCTTCCCTCTACAGCTTCCAGCTAGGGAAACTATAGTGTGTAGTCTGGTGCGTAGTACACTGCAGAATTCCTCAGATTGTACTATGGTCTGAAGAAACGTAAATCAAAATGTGTTCTTGTAAATAATTTGATTATGTGACAAATGCTGCAAACCTGTGGCACTCAATGTAGTGATGCCTGTTTCTTACGACAGGTTCTCTGTCTGTGGATGACATTTTTCTTCCATTGAACTAAAATGACTCAAGTTTTAAACCTTCCATTTCAAGTCTGGATTAAACAAGCTGATTAATGGTGACTATTTGTAGAGGAGTGTTTTTTCTGAGTAATTTCAAATTAATATGAAAAGGAAATTGCTAGCCTCAGTAAATACTTTTCTGAATCAGATCTGCGATAGCTCTAAAAAGAATGACAGGTCAGTCATAACCATATTTTTGGTAAACATTGTTTTGTAAAAGTCAGTACAGTACAAGTTACAGTAATAGGTGGTTTTCTAAGGAATAGAATCTACAGGAAGACATGAAGATGAATGCATTTTAGCAAAGGTGAATTTCCTGCAGTTTTCTCTGTGGTGTCTTTATTGCATGACTAATAGAAGCAAATGGGATGATCCCTCATACACAGATTTCTGTTCCTCTCATGATGACACAGAATTTTGTTAAAGTATAAATTACACTTTTCTACCTTAAATTTCACTAAAATAAGTAGCGCAGTATTTGGTTAGTTTTCAGATACTTTGTATTATTAATATTTGTTCACCACAAAAGGCCACATATTCAGCACATTAATAGTTTTGAAGTTTTAACCTTTCTTTTGCCACTGTTGTGCAAGTCCTGTTACATCATGATGTTTTTTACAGTTCTGAGATTTGAGATTTTAGGATATTTATGTGTGAAACTGCTAGAAAATGGGAATGTTAGAATTAAGCCTACAAAGTTCTCGGTTTGTTGCTGCCAATCTCAATCACTCTTCCTGATGTCTGTGAATCATAGAGTTGCAGACTGTTCTGTGCCTGTATTGTGTGCCTGAGTACTAGTCTTTCAATATGTGTCATCTTTTCTGTTAGCCGGTGTCTTGAGTCCAGGTTCTGCAGCTCCATGGAATTGTTTACTCAAAGTACTTTTTAGATCTTTCTGAAATTCTTAATGAATATCAAATGGGAAGTCAGTGAAAGAGGAAGGAGGAAGGGCATGTATGGAGACAAGTATGCTGTGTATCTGCTATTTAATTACACAGCCCTCTTGCTCATTGCCATGCTTAAATGCAAAAGGGTTGCAATGCAAGGCCTTACTACCAGTAAATGATAACTTCAACCCTTTGCAGCAAACTCGACAGTCAAAATGATTTATCCTGTCAATATAGGGACCTCTGTTATCTTCTCGAATTGTGTTGTCATTCAAGAGTTGCATAGTTAACTGATCACTGCAGATGAGTTAAGCATATTACTCCCTAAATATGAGGGGTGTGCCTGCAGATAAGAAAGTGACTTTCTAAACAGTGCATTTGTAACTTCAGTCAGTTAGTTCTCCTGGGACCAGAGCAGTTCTTGAGGGCAGGAACATTCTGCAAAGCTGTGCTCTGTGTCATTATTTTAGAGAACAAATTGCATCAAAAGAAGGGAGAAAATAAAAAGATAACGTATGTATTTTTGATTATTAAAAGTTCTGTTACTGTTTGGAAAACTTAAATGTTTTGAAGAATACAGGGCAAAGCTTCAAACTGTTATTTGCTGACAGTTTCTGAAAGCTCCTGTGTGCATTTCGTAGCATTGCCAGAAGTGTATACTGCACTTGATGCTGTTAAAGCCACTGTGGCACATACATTACCTAAGTACTGGCAATGTTCAGTAAACTAGTCGTTTGTTTCTTACTGCTTGAAACGACTGCTAACTGGAATTAGGCATTCTTCTCCCACCGCGGATTTTGTGAGGTGCAGTTCAGTTGCCTATCTCAGCACAACTGCATTTGTTCATGAACCGTATCTCAGATTCACCTCTTTAAAAACGGAATCAAGTCAAATGAGTGTAGAGAATTTTGGATCTTTGCAAAAGACAACTAGGAATGAAAATGGTTGGATGTTTGTTATAAAATAATATGATGGTGAAATGATTGCCATTCTGGTATGGGTATGAAATGAAAGTTTGGAATACATACTAAGATTTCAATTTTCTGTTTAAATATTTTAGTTTTTCTTATGTTTTAACGCACCTTTTAGACTGTCTCTGGTACTGTTCTGCTAGATCCCAGACTGTTAGCATCAGTGATGGTGTCACAAAATCACAGAATAGTAGGGGTTGGAAGGGAGCTCTGTGGGTCATCTAGTCCAACCCTCCTGCCGAAGCAGGGTCACCTACAGCAAGCTGCACAGGATCTTGTCCAGGCGGGTCTTGAATATCTCCAGAGAAGGAGACTCCACGACCTCCCTGGGCAGCCTGTTCCAGTGCTCCGTCACCCTCAGAGGGAAGAAGTTCTTCCTCATGTTCAGACGGAACTTCCTGTGCTTCAGTTTGTGCCCATTGCCCCTTGTCCTGTCACTGGGCACCACTGAAAAGAGCTTGGCCCCATCCTCCTGACACCCACCCTTCAGATATTTGTAGGCATTTATAAGGTCCCCTCGCAGCCTTCTCTTCTTCAGGCTGAACAAGCCCAGTTCCCTCAACCTCTCCTCGTAGTGGAGATGCTCCAGTCCCCTCACCATCCTTGTAGCCCTCCGCTGGACTCTCTCCAGTAGCTCTTCATCTTTCTTGAACTGGGGAGCCCAGAACTGGACACAGTACTCCAGATGAGGCCTCACCAGGGCAGTGTAGAGGGGAAGGAGAACCTCCCTCGTCCTGCTGGCCACACTCTTCTTGATGCACCCCAGGATCCCATTGGCTTTCTTGGCAGCCAGGGCACACTGCTGGCTCATGGTTAACCTGTCGTCCACCAGGACACCCAGGTCCCTCTCTGCTCTCCAGCAGGTCCACCCCAAGCCTGTACTGGTGCATGAGGTTGTTCCTCCCCAGGTTCAGGACCCTGCACTTGCCCTTGTTGAACCTCATCAGGTTCCTCTCTGCCCAGCTTTCCAGCCTATCCAGGTCACACTGAATGGCAGCACAGCCTTCTGGTGTATCTACCACACCTCCCAGTTTGGTGTCATCAGCAAACTTGCTGAGGGTACATTCTAACTCTTCATCCAGGTCGTTGATGAAGAAGTTGAACAAGACTGGGCCCAGTACTGACCCCTGGGGGACACCACTTGTTACCAGCCTCCAACTAGACTCAGCGCCGCTGATGACAACCCTCTGAGTTCTGCCATTCAGCCAGTTCTCAATCCACTTCACCGACCACTCATCCAGCCCACACTTCCTCAGCTTCCCTAGGAGGATATCATGGGAGACTGTGTCGAAAGCCTTGCTGAAGTCAAGGTAGACAACATCCATGTCTCTCCCTTCGTCTACCCAGCCAGTCATGTCATTGTTGTTATCAGCATAAAGAAAAACACAAGTTATTAAATCCTTGGGTCCATGTGTGCCCTAAGGTACTTAGTCAGACTGAATGATGGATTAGCTTTTGAGTTTTTTTAATTGCTTCTGTTTTATTCGTAGCAGAACATGCCCTTTTGTTCTTCATATTGCTGGACTGAGCAAAGTTAATAAAGGTTTAAGGCTGCTTTGTGCAAGTGGTCAATCAAGTTTTCACCATTTTTACATTAAACACCTTTTCTGAAGTGAGCTGTTTTGTATGCATCTGCTTTATAGACAGAAAGCTATTTCATACCTGTTTTTGTGGAGAAATTTCATGGGTCTGCATTATGGCATGGATATAATCTGATTAATTTTTGATCCATAAAGAATTAGTTAAATTGTGCTATCTTTGTAACTAAGAATTCAAGTTACAAAAGGAATTATTTCTTAAATTTGATATGTCTTTTAAGTAAACACAGGACTTCCACCTTTTGTTCCAGTCTTTAAACCTTGTTTGTTGTGACGTCATGGAAAATATTTATCATTAATAGACCTTGCATGGCATAATTAAGAGGTTAGCACAATAACTACCTTTCAGTGTTTGAATGAAGCTTAGTAGATGGTGAAATACTGTGTTGAAAACTCACTGTAGACGGTGCAGATCTCACGTAGTGTGGTCTGGTTTAAATAGGCCTCACAGAAACACAATTCCAGATTGTTGTCACTGGGGTGGAGATTCTCTGGGTTAATTTGAGAGTGTTCTTGATACTTGTCCCTAAATAACAGCAATGAAAGCAGATTTCTTTCTTTTTTGAGTGGACTCTTCTTATTAGCCTTGCTCTTCCCAAAGTTAATGTTTAGTTTAACTGAGAAGCCAGGAGGTAAGAAGCTCAGTGATGGACTTTAGTTGAATTTAAGACTTTTTGCTTTATGTTTCCTGTTGGATGGCTGTCATCTTTCAAAGGCATTCAGCTGATAGAGACTCAGGTGATGTTTAGTCCTGAGGAGTGTGGGTGCTCGGCTTGTGCTTCTTGTATTTTTTTCATATTTACCATTCACTGAGAATTCTCTCTTCAGAGTCTGAACAGTGTGAACGTTCAACAGTTTAAAGGACTGAAGTGTTTTGGATTCCAAGATATAGTTCATCAAGGACTGTGAGCCAGATTGGTATTTGTGGATTGCATGCTGTTCTGAGTTTAAACATTATCACTACTGGTTTGCCTGAGAATGGTCTATCTTGTCTTGTTTTACAGCTGTTAGCGGAGGAGCTCCTGTAATTTCTGCTCTACTCCTTCCTTCATCGAACTGAGTGTGCCTGCCCTCCAATTAACACTGTTGTCACTGAGAGCATAACCTTTTCCAGGGCCTACCCCGTGGCTCCGCTACTTCATCCTTAGCACTCTAGCACATAATGATTTTTCATTTGCATGTTGTTGTATTGAATTCTTTAGTGGATGTTGTTAGTTCTTTTAGCTCCAAAGAGGGAAAGAAGAGTACTGAGCAGTTTTCGCGCTCAGAGCAGTGCGGGTAATTGACA